CAAAAGACTACTTCTTCTATCCTTGTTCCGTCCATCACAATTCATGGTTGTCGGTGATATCACAGCCTTGGATTCAATTTGCAGTGCTCGTCATCGAAACTGGAAGTTCTTATCCGAGGATTCATTAAACTTTTTCATGGGAGTTGCTGAGCAGGCGGCAATTAGAACCGTTACACCGAAAATCTCCGGGCGACTCCACTGAAGCTTTTTGTCTTTTAGCCATGCCCAAAGACTAAACACAGGTAAATACATTTTTCGAATCTGCTTTATAGATATCCGACATTAAACGTGTTTCGTACTTTTCCTACTACCAGAAAAAATACTTCTTGTGTGTATTGAATAAAACTATTTCAAAATAAACTAAATTTCAAAATTAAAAAAAATTAAATGTTTGCCTTTTATTTAGCAGTAGAGTGTTTGGTTGTTGAGTTTATTCGAATCAAAACCCCGGTTTCTTCAAACAGTTCGATTACTTATCCACTTCCACATATTGATCTAAGAAAAAGAGCTTTCTTTAATTCGAATATTAAGCCAATCGAGGCATAAGTTCGAAGAGATCCCCAGTTCACTTTCCGCAAAAAAAAGTGTTCTCCATGTGAATTTAGGCAAGGAGCTATCTCTGAGTCAAAGTCGGTGTAAACCGAGCGATTTAAAAATAAATTTATTTTTCTCTTCCAGCTCCACTTCCCAGGAAAGTGTTTCATATCCGATGCCTACGTCATGCGCAGAATACTTTCTCCAAATTTAAGTTGGGCATTAGCAGTGGTTTAGCTTGTGTGCTGATCCATCAGTCATTCATAAAAAAACCTTTTATACAAAAAAAAAAAAAAAAAAACCTTGAATAGAAACAGTTAATTAGCCGGAACTCGTGAAGCTCCAACTGCTTAAAACCTTGGTCGATAGATGATTGTATTTTTAGAACAATCGACTGAAATGGGGACGAGAAAACGCAACATAGCTGAGAATGGGTCAGACGAAGTTCCACCACCAATGCAAACAGAAATTGCCCATCTGATGATCTTCGGGTTTCGGCGTAATTTATAGCCAATACAAATATTCAGTGAATGCCAAACTGCATATGGAACAATTGTACCGTCCTTAAAGACTATTTGTAAGTGGTTTCGAAGATTCCAGACCAGGCATTGTTCCGTAGAGGATGAGCCCCGGAAAGGTCGAACAAAATCATCCACATGACATCACTGTAGCTCTGGGGAAGTCCAAAATTGATGAAAGCCCACGGTTGACACAAGAAATGATTGTTAATGAATTGAGCTTGGATGCCATGTCTGTATCGCGAATATTAGGTAACCATCTTGGAAACAATGAGAAATCTGCCCGCTGGATAACACGAATTCTAAATGAGGCTCAAAAAGAGGCTCGAGTGCATTTGCCTCAATTTTCGCTAAACAAATCCGAAAATGGTCAGTCTAGCAGATTTTGTAAAGTCTTTACTGTTGACAAATCTTGGTTTTATAAGTACGATCCAGAAACCAAACAGCAGTTCATGGCATGGAGCCCAACAGCAGCAAGCCCACCGGTAAAATCTAAGCAGCAAAAGTAATTATGCCAGTTTACTTCACCCGATCTAGTTGCTTTCCCACTGGAAAAGGGTCAAACGGTAGCTGCAAAATGATGCACCGAAGATTGCTTACCAAAAGTTTCCAAAAATTTATCGGAAAACATATCACATATTACCTGCTCTATTGTAGTTTCTGATGCCAACTTGACTTTGGAGCAAGTTTTACATTTTTAAGGTTTGCAGGACTTCTCCCTCACAAATTTTGGTGAATTCTCCTTGCAGTCCTGTAATTAATGCCACAAATTTCTACAAGCACTGAGAAGGCTCAAATTTAAATATAAGTTAGATGTTCGGATATTTTTGGATATCATTTTTATTTATATAGAAAGATATTTTCTTCGAGGCACGCCTAAAAATTGAATCTATTCTTCAGATTTTTTTGATATAAAACACAGTTCTGGACTCATTATTATTTAGAATAGTAACTAACCACGATAGATCCAGTTTCATACCACGGATTGCACCGTTTTGAACTTGATCCAAATACCATTCCAGTTCGAAAGTCCTGCAATAAAAGATCATTCAAATCACATTGTCACAGTAAATGAAGTTATTTTGAAGACCTTAAGAATTCAAATTAAGTGGATGGATATGAATAAGTACAGTTAAATATAAAACGCCATTAATGATGCGTTAAAAGACTGCAATATTTTTTTTTTTTTTTTTTTGTAGGGCTTAATAGGATAATTTTTAATTTATTCGCCCTTTGCTGAAAATAGTCTACTTTGGTCATTAATATAATAGTTAACAAATCTAAAAATGAGTTTTGGAGACTAAAAAATATTCTCCTCAAAATGCCAAGATTAGAACAGGCTTGTGGTGTGCTTTTTTGAAAAATTTAGAGATTACGTACTTTTTCTCTTAAGCGATTACATCTAGTTAGGCGCCCTAAGCATTGAGGTTTTCCAAACATTTTTCACGATGAAACTTTTAGCTTTATTATTTTGAGTATTTCTAAATATATTATGGTACCTTTGAAGAGTAGTACGCAATTTCTTATTTATAAAGATAACAGTTTTTGAAGCTGCTACAGCAGTTCTCTTCACGAAAATGGTGTTTTGCGGTGACCATTGTATTGCTGAAGTGAATCATCTTAAATGAAAAAAATCAAACGGATTTCATTAAAGTAATGTATAATCTTGTGATTAAACGAAGGAATAAGCCAAAAAAATTGTTGCCAAAATGGCGTATACTCAAAAAAAAAAAAACAAAAACAATTTTTATTCGTGATTTAGGTCTTGAATTGGGTATTAAAAAAATTTTCATCGGTAATAAAAAAGCTTCGATTAATAAGCCCGTGTAAAAAAATGAGACTTATCTAGAAAACTTGGTCACCGTCTTGAAAAACATAGTTTTGAGAAAAACGAGATTAACGTTTCACAAGCGTTTTGCACAGAGTTACATTTTTCTTTCCAACTTACATCGAGTCAGCTACTCTCCGAGGCCATATACTCTCTGCGGCTTCGGCAGCTTCTAAAGCATTGATATGGTATTATCTACCAATCATTCTTCCTTGAATGCTCTCATGGGCTCTTCGTACGGAGATCGTTACGCGCCAATCATTCTCTGTTTCGGCAAATGAATGTGCATTATGCGTGTAGCTTCCAAAATAACAGTCCGATCGAATTGAAATTTTCTGAGTATTTACTTGAATACTTCTAAATTACGAAAATTTTAGCTAAATGCAACCCCTTAAGTGTTCATGATTTCTAAAAAAAAAATCAATATTTTTCATAATATAAATGTTCTCAGGTGTTGCCGTCTGAGTGAAACAACAGACTCTGGTAATCGATAAATGTAGTGTAGTAAGCAAAATCAGAACGATTATGACGTCGCCAACTGTATTGAGTATAATGAAATTAACTTAAAGTTCATTTGAAATACTTAGATATTAATAAGAGCAAATAGTTTAAAAAACTATTTTTTTTTTTTGAACTGTGTGAATATTTTCATTCGTAGCTTTCAAAAGAATATTTCTTTAAGTTAAAGTAATATTTAAATCACAAGTACTTGCTTATAGGAAAGATATATATATATATATATTTACATATCAAATATCCATTTGAAAGCAGACAAGTAAAATACATACATATATGACAAAGAAAACAAACGACAGGAAGTCACACACACCTACATTACACATCGCGACGAACGGAAAAAGTTGTACAGTAGCAATACCGCCAGCGCTGTAAATACATACATATCTACATACTTACTACAGTTTGCCGGAATATATATTTATGTCTAAATACCAAAAAACTCAACAATCTTTAAAAGTCGTTAAAAGTACATATTCATTAAAAAAAAATTTTTTTCAACCTAAAAAAAAATCTCAAAATGTTACAATGTATATACATACACACATATCTACATCTGTATATTTATACGGTATTATGTAAATGCTGCATCGACTCTTGCACCCCTGACATTTCACCTGAAACTGCTGGCTTGGCATTTACTGTCATATGAGCAAGAGAGTACTTTTTTCCTATTTTATTTTTAGTATTTTTTTATTTTATATTTTATTATTTACAAAACTCAAACAACGCTGCTGCGTGCTGCCTTGAATTGAAAGTGCAGCGCAGTGCAGGGCACAACGTCAAACTTTAAGTTCCACAACATTCCACAAAAGAGTTTAACGCAAGCAACAAACTTGGTTGGCTATCAATTTACCCCTGTACAAGTGTGGTGAGTAAGCTTTTGGTGGTAATGAGTGCGAAAGTGGGAGAGAGCGTAAAAGCGCCAGCGTCGCTCGTGATCGCTGTTCGTTGCGTTACTGTGCTTAATACCACTTTTAGGTTGGTTATTTTAAGCGCTGCGTAATATTATGCAAAAATATAAATAAACTTGTTTACAATTTTAGTAAAAAAAAATTCAAAAAAAAAGACGAAGAAAAAATGTGGTAAATATTTTTTTGGGATTTTTTCGCAAACATTTTTGTATGCGTGTATAGAGGTTATTTCACAAAATTGAGTTGTGGTGAATTTGAGTTGTGAGCGCAAATCCGGTAAAAAAAGTGTGTGTGGTTTAATGAAATAAGCAAACAGTTGTTTGAAATATATATAAATGTATTTTAAGTCAACAGTTAAAATTTCTCACATAAGTAAGCGTACGAAATTTTTTTTTTAATATTATAAGACAATTTCATTTGAAGTGTTTTCAACATATACGTTGCGGTTTTTAGAAGTTGTTAGCCTTCTTCTTGCTCTGTATCTCACTCTCACCCTCGCGCGCTCTCTTACCTTTGTTCTCTGGCAAACCTTGCGCTCTCTCTGCGCTCTCTCTCTCTCTCTCTCCATTACCCCTTTTATTTTAAAGTTTACTGTTGTATTTTCTTCATCGCCACTTGCATATTGCAAGAAGTCCACCACACTGCCCCACTGTTTTGGCCATCTTAATAAATAGAACTTGTTGCCAGTGGCCAACACCTAGTGTAAGCGTGGCTGTGTATCGAGTGAAAACCTCGAGAGCTGTCCGTTGAAGTTTTTAACCAAATTTTATAAAAGTAATTGACATTTCTTTTCATAATTTTTTTTTTCTATTTTTTTCTTCAGTTTTATTAAATATTGAAATATCATAAATAACGAAAATATTTTTTCACAAATTTCAGTTTAGTTTTAGTGTAAGCACATACGCAACATGGCGCGTGTGTTGCCAATTTTATCTACATTTTTGCTGTGCTGTGCGCTGGGTGAGTAGAAGAAACAGTTTTGAAACAAAAAAAAATCATAAATTAAATAATTATAAATATAATTATAATTTTTTTTTTTTTATAAATATATTTGAATATAATTTTTGTTCATAAAATTTATAAACGTTTCGCTGCAAGGTTTTTTAGTTTTTTTTTTTTATTTTAAGACTGTGCATATTTTTAAAAGTGGGGTATTTACGAAAAATGTTCGGAAATATTATTAAATTTTGTGGAAATTTTTTTGAAAGTTGTTTGCAAAAAATTTATAAGTTTCATAAAATAATTTTTGCTTTTCGTAATATTTTGTGCTTTTATTTTAAAATTCAAAATGTAATTATTTGCTTTGAATTAAAAAAAAAAATTGTCAATTTTTTTAAACATACCGTTAAGTGTGCAACTTCCACCGGAAGCGTTGTTATGTTAATTATGGCTATCGAATTTTAACCAAATGAGCGTTGTATTTAAAAATTTTGAAAGATACTTAGTTTTAAATTTGATTATTTGAAGCTGTTTTTATATTTTTTATGTTTTGAGAAAATTTTCTGATCATTAGTAGCCTACCTAAACATTTTTATATTATTATTTTCTGATATTCTATTTCTCTTGGAATTTTTTTTTTTTTTCAGATAAATAAATTTTATTGGCTTTCCATAAATATATTTGATGTTTTACTAATTAATACAATTTTTTTTACATTAACAAAATTATTCTCTTTTTAATTTTTTAACTTAAATTTTTTTTAATAATTCACTAAAATTTGTGAAATTCTATTATTTTTAATAAATTCTTCCACTTAGTAACTTTTATCAAAATATTTTAATTTTCGAAATTTCGTTGTTTATTTCTTTTTTTTTTTTGAAACATTAAATTTATCAACAATCCTAAAAATTTTAAAATTGTTATTTTTTAATTTTAACAACTTTCATTAACTTTTTAAAAATTTAAAAAAAAATTATATTTCTTTTTTGAAAAATGTTTGATTTAAAATCTCAAAATTTTGTAAATCTTATATTTTTAAAATAAAATTTATCACTTAGTATTGTTTTATTAAATATATATATTTAAAATATTTTTAATCAAATGTATCTTTTAGTATTTTTTTAATCAATTTTAGTATATTTTAATTATATTTTTTTTATAATTGCAAATTTCGTCTTTGTTTTGAGTATCTATTGGAAAGTACAAAATTTTTTATTTGCCTCACTGTTTAAAAAACGGTATTGGAGCTTTATATTGAACATATTTACGAACATTTCGATATTATTTTTTTAATAAATTAATATATATATACATATATATTACTAAGAAAATTTTTTTTATATTATTTATGTACAAAATGCGTTCATTCAGTGTAAAAAAATATTTTATATATTTAAAAATTTTAAATATATTTTTTTAGTAACTTTCATTGACCTTTTGAAAAATTTAAAATGTAATATTTGTTATTTTTTTAACATTTTTTAAATCTTAAATTTTTAAAATAAAATTTATTATTATTTTTTAATTATTATTCGCTTCTAATGGAGACTTAAAAAATCCAAATTGTAGGCGTTACAACTGCTTTCATTTATGTATTAACATTTTTCTTTAAAAAGCCAAAAAATCAAGCAGAACATTATTATTTTTTAATATTTTTCACAAAAAAAGCGGAAAAAAATTTTAAAAAATTTTTCATTTATTAAAAAAGCACAAAAAATTATAAATAAAGATATTTAATTATATCTTACGCTCTTTAGTCCATCTCAGCTACTTCGAAATTAAATTTTTGAATTTAATCATTTGAAAAATTTATTTATTATTCTAAAGAAATTTTTGGATTTTGCCTTTTTTGCTTAAAAACACTTGCTTACTTACTTACTTTAAATTGCTTTTTGGAAATATTATATACATATATCTCTCATTTAACCTCTCCTTCCTAACCGTTCAAGAATAAAATTATAACAAAAATGCAAATTATTTGCCATCAAACTGGTTTCTTATTTGTAGATGTCCATCATTATTCTTGTTTACTTAGAGTGAAAAAAATCAAGGTTGACAACTAAAGGCTAAACGCAATTAAATACGTTTGCATACACTTGCACTCACATACATAAATACATGCGTATGTATGTATATGTCCACTGACATTTAAAGCCATGTACTTGCAATTGAGAATGGCAAAAGTTGTATCGATTTAGCAGTTGCCAATACCGATTGAAACAAAAAAAAAAATTAGACGAGTTAGCTTGCACATTTGCACCTACTGAAACAACACACCTCTTCTATTGAACAATTGATAAATCATTAGAGACATGCAATACCTCGCACGGTGTCTTCAAATGCCTGTCTTCGTGTGCACTGAAATGCCAATTTGAAATTTGCTTATACTTTTGCCACCATTTTAATGCACATCCGCATATATAGGTACATATGTACATATATACGATGATACAAACAAGTGCATGTTTGCCTGCATTTAATCGCCAGTGACATGTTTCTTTGTCTGCTAACAATTTTAGGTGCGGCCGATCGGCAGCAGATTGTGCTTTGGCCTTTGGGCACTGAAACTGCAGGGCAAACAAAAAAATTTAAGAATATATAAAAAAAAAAAATTAAAAATAATAATTAAGACTGCGCTTGCTGCTGCACCTCAAATATGCGGTTTATACATATATACATATGTGACTGCACATTGTAGATGTTGCAAGCAATTAACTGTACATAGAAGAGTGGCCAAAGAGCAGGCAAAATAAACATTCTTTCTTTATAATGTTTAGTTTTGGAAAATATGTAACAATAAATCAAACAATCGATTTACCCGAAACATATCAGAACAAATTTAGTGAAAGCTCTTCTGAGTGAAAGCACGGAGCTTCCGGTTTGCAAAAATCTTTTTTACACTTATCACTGTATATATTTATTCTAATGATAAAAGCAAAGTACAAATCATTGCTTGGCATGAAATACATATACATATGTCACTCAAATGAAAGCTTAAAGCTCATAGCAGTTTTTCTGAATGAAGACCCAGCTTTGAGTCGGCAAATTTTTTTACAATTTTTATTGTCTAACTGTATTCCAATGATTAGGTCAACGGAAGGAGTAGCCGTTCTTTCTTATGGAAAATAAAAAATCATTGCAAGTTTCAAAAGATCAGATCAAAGAAATATAAGCTTAAATTTAATGAAAGGTTTTGTTAGTGAAAACACCATGCTTTTGTTCGGCAAGATGTTTTCATACCTTTCATTGTCTATTCCAATGATAGGATCAACCGGTAGAATAACCAGCAGCCAGCCCTTTTTTTCATACTTTGCATTAAATATCTATATTTTAAAGCATAATTGTTTTTTAATTTTTTTTTTGGATAATAAAAGCAAAATACAAATCATATCAGTCGCATTGTTTGAAAAAATAGTGAAAAAATCTAAGTTTAAGCTTTTAATGAAAGCTTTTAGCGAAAGCTTTTCTGAGTGAAAGCACCGTGCTTTGGCTTGCCAGATTTTTTTATTTATTATTATTACCTGCTCAGTACAATAATTTCCATTCAGATGAAAGCTACAAATGAAAGCTTCTTAACTTAAAAAAGGAACTTAAAGATAGCAAGCTGAAGTTAGCAAGAAAATACAAAATTCAGTCGCATGGCTGGAAATTCAGATAAAAAATCGAAGCTTAACTTTAATGAAAGCTTTTCTGAGTAAAAGCACTGAACTTTATATCAGCAAGAACTACTTATTTTATTTCCATACTTTCCATTGCCTATTGCCATTTAGCTGAAAGCTACTAATATAAGCTTTTAAGCTTAAAAAAGGAATTTAAAAATAACAAGCTGAACCTTTCGACTGCTACTAACTTTGTGTACTAATTCAACACTTAAAATTCAGATAACACGAAGTTCTTGAAATTGACTTTAAATTATTTAAAAAAAAAATATTTGATATGTAAAATATATGTAGTATAATTAATTTCAAATATTATAATATTTACCTCGACTTTTTAATATTTTTGTGATCTATTTAAATTTCTGTTGCACAATAAATTAATTTTGTATTAAAAGACTTTCGAAAAAATTAATAGTAGACCATAAAACTAAACCAAAAACGAGAAAGTAAAACATTAATAAAAATAATAATTACTAATAAACTGGACCTTTTTACGTAAAATAATAACAATTTTCAAAAAGGAGAGTGGAAAAAAACCGATGGCACAACCAGTTGATTGCTTAAAATTTTAAATAGGTTATTCGTTTTTTTTCTCCCAATTTAATAATAAAATTAATGCTTGCAGGTCTATATTGAAATTAAGAAATTATAAAAAATAGATATTGATATACACTGCCATATATATGCATTACCAATTAGTTATTATTAATAATAAGCCAAGCGATAAAATACCAGTTTATTTCTACACCGCTGAAAATTAATTAGCATATAACCACGCATACTCGTGTACAAACATATATTTTTGAAAAAAAAAAGAATTAAAAAAATTTTAATAAATACTATGGTCAAGCATGTTAGGAGCTATTCACTACAAACAATTCAATGCATATTGGCATATTGATAAATACATATATACATATGTATATGTATATTCATTTAAACAACTAAAAGGTACACTTCTTGTGGTGTAGGCCTCGTTTTGTATACTCAAGCGCTTAAAAATAATTTAATTCATTTTTTTTTTTTTTTCAATATTCAATATTTACATACATAATGAATGATGCCACCTTTTAAATGAGTTTTTTTTTAATTTTTTTTTTTGTCTACCAATCCGCACACAAAAACAATAAAGTTGTTTATACTACATATTTTTTCAAACCATTTGATAATCACTTTTATGCAATCTATTCGTAATCTGTACGAAATACGAGAAAAAAAAACAAGTTTATTGGTTTTCTTATACTTTTAGCATTTTTGCTTTTACTGTTGTTGTTTTTTTTTCTGCGGTGGCAGCAACAATGCCTTCCAGCCATTGCAATAACTTGTTTGCGTGCCGCCACAGCCGCATAACTTTTACTTTTTATGGCCATCAATAGATACTCGTATGTTGAATTATGTATATACATATATACACGTACATATGTCTGAATGCTGCGTATGGACCGGGCTGTAACCGGTTGAATGGCATTAATTTTTTCATCACCAACATCATTTTTTTTTCTTTTGTTCAACACGAAAAGTAGCACGAGCTTACAAGCTTCAGCTTCACAATTTACTAGTTTGTAATGGTTAAGAGCATTTCTCCTTTCAATTTCATTTGGTGTGCGAAAAAAAAATAGAAAAAAAAAACTATTTAATTCATATGGCTTGTTATGCTAATGTTTGTATACCAAAGAGTTGTCCATAAATTATATAATTAAGATTATGAACACGTTTTTTTGAATTATTTTTAAGCGTAACTTCATTAATTTTATAGAAAAGGGCGATTAGATATACCAAAAGGAAGCCGTTAAGGCGAATACAACAAAAATCACAATTTAAAAAATCAAGGAAAAAAGTAAAATAAAATGAATTAAAACAAAATAAAAAAATTGATTCAAATAAAATGGAAGAAATAAACTAAAATCAATCAAAACCCAATTATTAAATTAATTAAAAACAAAATTAGTTAATTAAATAAAAAAATAAACTATATATAATATAATATATACAGATAAAAAAATATTAAATTAAATAACTACAATAAAATAAAACAAATTTAATTCAAAATTTAATTAAAGTAAAAAAAAAATAAAATAAAATAGCACAAAATGAATTTAAAACATAATCAACTAAACAAATTTTTTTTCATATTTTATAAAATAAAAAAAAATGAATTAAAATTAAAATATAAAACGAAATAAATTGAAATAAATAAATAAATCAAAAAGTCAATGAAATTTAATTTAATTAATTAAATAAAAAATTAATTAACTAGTTAAAATCGAATATAAAAAATAAAATAAAGTAATAATTTATAAGCCAAATTAAGTAAAGAATTTATTTGAAACTTAATAAAAATTTAATTAATTAAATAAACAATTAATTAACTGTTTAAAATTAAATAAAAATGATAAAATAAAATAATAATTTATATAACAAATTAAGTAAAATATATAACAAAAGAAATTTAATCAAATTAACAAAATGAAATAGGAATAAATTAAAATTGAAAAAATTAATTTAAATAATTAAATTAAGAAATTATTAAATTTTTTATTTAGTTAATTAAATCAAAAGAATAAAAATCTACAAATAAAATTTAATATAAAATTATACAAATTAAAACCAAATAAATTGTAAAATTATAAACAAAGTAAAATAAAATTAAATTAAATTAAGCAAAATGTAACAAAATTAAACCACATAAAAATAAAATTGAAGAAATGATAATAAAAAAGCTTATATAAAATTAAGTTAAATTAATTTAATTAAACTATATAAATAGGAATAGAAAAAAGGGAGATAATATAAAGTAATATAATAAAATAAAGGATATATAATGTAATAGTAATATAAAAACAAATAAATCATTTATTTAGATAGTGATTCGAGTGAAATAAAATTATATTAAATTGAATGGTATAAAATATAAAAAAATATTAAAATAATATATTCAAATAAAAAAAAAACAAAATTAAATAAGAAAAAAATTAATAGAATGAAATAAAAAAGTGAAATGAAATAGAAAAAAAATAATGTTATATTAAAAAATAAATAAATAAAGTTCGGTAAAACAAAACAAAAATAAATAAAATAAAATTTAATAATATAAAGTAAAATAAAATAAAATAAATAAAGTAAATAAAAATAATTTAATATAAAATAAAATAAAGGAAAATAAAATTTAAAAAAAATTAAATTTAAATAAAACAAAATAAAGTAAAATTAAATTAAATTAAATTAAATTAAATAAAGAAAAGTAAAAAAAAAAATTAAATAAAAATAAAGAAAAATAAAACAAAATAAAACAAAATAAAATAAAACTAAACAAATTAAAAAATATAAAGTAAAATAAAATAAATTAATATAAAATAAAGTGAATTGAAATAAAATAAAATATAAAAAAATAAAAACAAAATAAAGTAAAATTAAAATAAATTAAATTAAATTAAATAAAGAAAAGTAAAAAAAATAAAATAAATTCAATTACAATAAAATAAACTAAATAAAAATGAAATAAATTAAAATAAAACAAAATGAAGTAAAACTAAATTAAATTTAAAAATGTAAAGTAAAGTAAAATAAAGCGAATTAAAATAAAATAAAAATTAAATAGAACTAAATAAAGAAAAATGAAAATAATTAAATTAAATAAATAAGAGTAAAAATAAAAATAAAATAAATTAAATTACCATAAAATAAACTAAATTAAAATGAAATAAAATGAAATAAAACACAATAAAGTAAAACTAAATCATATTAAAAAATATAAAGTATGATAAAATTAATTAATATAAAATAAAGTAAATTGATAAAAAGTAAAATAAAAATAAAAAATAAAATATAACATAATAAAATAAAATTAAATAAAGTAAACTAAAAATAAATGAATATGAGATAAAATAAACTAAACTAAAAACAATTAAATAAATTACAATAAAATTAAATTACATTTACATTATATTAAGTTAAATTGAAATATTTAGTTAAATTATTGAAACCAACCAAATGAAGCGAACCAAACTAAAATAAAATTAAAAAAAAAAACGAATATATAAACATTATATAAATTTGAATTGAACTATAACAAATTAAATTAAACGATATAAATTAAATTAAATTAATATAAAAAATTGAGTAGAATTAAACAAATAAAATATTGTATCAAAAAAATGAAAAGACAGAATAAAATAAAAATAAAGACGGAATTATAAGTAAAAGTAAAAGTAAAAGTAAAAATAAAAATAATAATAATTAATTATTAAAAAATGGGTGTAAAATAAAATAAACTATAATAAACAAAAAAACATACAAAAGTTAAAATAAAACAATAATAAAATGTATAAAATAATTTAAAATTAAATGATATAAACAATTGTATTTATAATTAATATTAAATTATTGTAATTAAAAGATATACAAAATAAAAAAGAAAATGGAATTAAAGATAAAAAATGAAGAACAAATAAAAACAGAAGTAAAACAAAATAACTTAAGTAAATTAAAGCAGTATAAATTGATACAAAAATTAAGTAAAGCAAAAGAAAATGAAAAAATATTAAATTTAAAAAGAAATTAATACAGTTTGAAATTAATCAAAATTAAAAAATATGAAAAGAAAACAAAACAAAATAAATGTTTCATTTAAAATTAATAATTTAAAGATAGAGTAAAATAAAAACGAAAATGGAATAACTATAAATAAAAAATAAAATATTAATTTAATAAAAAATTTAAAAATAAAAATAAATATTTATGTAAAAGTAGATAAAATAAAATTAATTAAAATAAAAGTAAACCAAAAAATAAATAAAGAGTATAAAATAAGATAAAATATTATAAAATGAAATCAAATGAGTTGATTTAAACGAAACAAAAATATTTTTTTTTTATTTAAACGAAACTAAAATTAAATTCATTTCAATTGAATATAAGAAAATAAAATAAAATGAAATTAAAAAAAATGAAGTAGCTAGTGTCTCTACTTTTGTAATATAATAATTTATAATTATGTTTCAAATAAATAAATAAAAGTAACATCAGTTAAGTTACCATTTTGTTTAAATCATGCAGCGAAACGTATATAAAATTTTCTAAAATTCGTATGCAAAATTCGTAAATTTATATGCTAATCTCGAATTAAAATTTTCTTAACCATTTCATATTTAGTATCCTGCCAGGACTCCAGAGACAAACTCGAAGGTGTCGATGTTGAGGAAGTGTGTGCCGACAGACCCGCCGATGAGTACTTCCGTTTAGATACCGAAGGCGATTGTCGTGAAGTTTACAGGTATGTCTTATGCATTTTAATTAGCTAAAAAAAAATGCAATCAATTAAAAATTTTGTAAATTAAGTGTATGAAACTTGCTAGATAACTAAGAAAAAATTAAAATTAAAGTTAATAACTAAAATTAAAGCTTAAAGCTATTAATTAATTAATTTTAAAAATTAAATTTAAAATTTTAAAAAAAAAAATAAATTTAAATTAAAGAGACCTAAAAATGATTTTTTTTTTAAACTTAATGAAAATTCTTACATACTGCAGTACATATAAATTAGTTTGTCCTTTGTTTTTATTATTTGCACCCAAAATTAATGTCAACATTTTCTTTGCTTCAAATTGAAGATGTGACAGAGGCGAAACTGGCAATACACGCTTAGCCAACATAAAATGCGCTGGCGGCCTGGCGTTCGATATCACACGACAGACATGCGATTGGAAATCGAATGTCAAGAATTGTGATCAAATTGAGAGTAAGTCGACCATTTTTGGTCCGGCCTGAAAAGTTCAGTGACGTTGTTGTTTGTTTCTATGTAACTATCGATGTTTTTGTGTTTGTTCGTTTATGTGTAAATGTTAAACATTTTTCGTTTAGTTTTGGGTATGAAAACGCAAAAAAAAAAAAAAATTGGTTGCCCTCAATTTCCATATACAAAATTTATATATACCAAAATAGTTAGCAAACAGTGCGTGCAAAAAAAAAATAAATAAATAAACCGTTTAAATGTGCGAAAAAAATTTTTTGCTAAATTCTACAGATATACATACATATATATATTGGCATATAAAATTTTTTTTATTTACACATAACTACATGAAAATCTTAATATGTAACGGTTTAATATAAACTTTCCCCCCATTTTGTGTCATCAACAACTGTCACATAGTATTTTTCTGTGTTTCGAAATCACTTTATACTTCTTTGGTGTTTTGCCTTTGAACGAAAATGCCTGCAAGCTTGTGAGAAATTTAAAATTCTTTGAAAATTTTTTGAAAAGTTTTTGAAAATTTTTTGAAAATTTTTTGAAAATTTTTTTGAAAATTTTTTGAAAATTTTTTTTTGAAAATTTTTGGAAAATTTTTGGAAAATTTTTTGAAAATTTTTTGAAAATTTTTTGAAAATATTTTGAAAATTTTAAATATGGATCAAACTGCCGTTATATATGTCATTGGCAAGACACAACTATATTTCTATGTTTCTAATTTCCCACTGGTGATTTTTGGCTTTGGCCGCACTACTGTTACTCTGTACTTCTTAACTGTCAGTGCAACTGTGTTCTATTTGTCATATATGTATGCTCGTATTGTGTATAATTTCATGTTGGTTGTCTTGTTTATTGTTGTTTTTATATTTAATTTTCGTTTACGAACGTTTTTACGTTGTTTCTACTGTACTGTGTAACTAACATATTCTATGTTTCCTTTATTTTCCATATATGTGCGTATAATTTTCGTACACACTATTTCCTCAAACTTCTAGCATACATTTGTTATAACAATTATTAAAACTGAAATATTGAAAAAAAAAAGAAATTTCAAAAAAAAAAACNATTTTTTTTTTTGAAACCATGAATCCCGGAAAACATTTTTTTTTTTTGGTAAATTTTTATATGAGGACTTTAATTACTAAGAAAAAAAAAGGTCGTCCAAGAAGTGTAAAAATTTTTTCTACAATAATTTCATACATTTGTACAAAATCTATATTTTAAAACAATTAATTTAAAAAGCAAAATTCAATACAAAAAAGTCCTAACAACCGACACAATTTTTGCCATTTCTTTGTGTTCCCATAGATGTACAAAATCGGGTTTGAAAGAAATTCAGTGCCCCTCTGGTTTGGCCTTCGATATTATGAAACAAACCTGTGACTGGAAAGCTAAAGTAACTAACTGCGATGAGAAAGAAAGTAAGTGTCTTCACTATAACAAATACAAAATATGAAAACAAAAAACAAAAAAAAAAACAATAATAAATTGCGCAAAATTTTCTATATTCATTGAGTACAAGATTTGTACGTAAATAGAGGAGTAGTAATAACATTTGCCGCCACTGTATAGTGCAGCGCTGTATTTAGAGCGACTTCGGTTGAAAAGCGTCGAGGTGTTATTTTGCCAACAACATTACATGGTGTTTACATTGCCTTGCTTAAAGTCAAAATTTTGAAAATATCAAATTTTAATGTTCGAAAATTTATACAACAAAATCGCAACGCGCCTACAGCCGAAGCTCAAATTTAATTTTCTGCATTTTATTGAGAACAATAAAAAAAACTTTTTTTGTAGTTATAAAAGAAGTTTTTTTGTCAAAATTTTAGAACTTTGGTTTTGGTGTTGTTGTTACACATCATTGACTAACAAAATATTCGGATAACACATTTTTGTCTTAGACTAATCACACAACACACACACACATACGCTACTATTTCTACCATTTTTCTCTACAAAACTGTGTTAATAACATTCTAAGTCTCTTTTTCTCTGACTAAAATATTTCTGTTTAATTTTCCTTTTTTTTTTTGAGAAACTGAAACTAATTTTTCCATTCTTAATCCCACAAATCAGAGCCACGCAAGGTTAAACCCATATTGAAGACTGATGAGCCCATATGCCCGGAGGGTAAACTCTCTTGCGGTGATGGTGAGTGTCTCGACAAAGAGCTGTTCTGTAACGGCAAACCCGACTGCAAGGATGAGTCTGACGAGAATGCTTGCTGTAAGTAGCACACAACTCTTTTTTTTTAGCTTCATTTCATAAAACTGAGAAATTTCTTTTATCTGCAATCCACAGCCGTCGATGATGATCCAAACCGCGCACCCGAATGCGATCCCACACAATGTGCACTGCCCGATTGTTTCTGTTCAGCCGATGGTACACGCATACCCGGCGCCATTGAACCCACACAAGTGCCACAGATGATCACGATCACCTTCAACGGTGCTGTGAATGTGGATAATATTGATTTGTATGAGGATATCTTCAATGGTCAACGTCAGAATCCAAATGGTTGCTCCATCAAGGGTACCTTCTTCGTTTCGCACAAATACACCAACTACTCGGCTGTGCAGGATTTGCATCGTCGCGGTCACGAGATCTCGGTCTTCTCTCTAACACACAAAGATGATCCAAACTACTGGACTAGCGGTTCATACGATGATTGGCTCGCTGAAATGGCTGGCTCACGTTTGATTATTGAACGTTTTGCGAATATTACTGATGGTTCGATTATCGGTATGCGCGCCCCTTACTTGCGTGTAGGTGGTAATAAACAATTCGAAATGATGGCTGATCAATTCTTCGTTTATGATGCTTCAATCACCGCCTCGTTGGGACGTGTGCCCATCTGGCCGTATACACTGTACTTCCGCATGCCACACAAGTGCAATGGCAATGCACACAACTGTCCATCACGTAGCCATCCAGTGTGGGAAATGGTTATGAATGAATTGGATCGTCGTGATGACCCAACCTTCGATGAATCCCTGCCCGGTTGTCATATGGTTGATTCGTGCTCAAACGTTGCATCTGGCGATCAGTTCGCACGTCTGTTGCGTCACAATTTCAATCGTCACTACAATAGCAACCGTGCGCCATTGGGTCTACACTTCCACGCTTCGTGGTTGAAGTCAAAGAAGGAGTATCGTGATGAGTTGATCAAATTCATCGAAGAGATGCTTACACGTAATGACGTATTCTTCGTTACCAATCTGCAAGTGATTCAATGGATGCAGAATCCAACTGAACTCAATTCGTTGCGTGATTTCCAAGAGTGGAAGGAGAAGTGTGACGTTAAGGGTCAACCCTACTGTTCGTTGCCAAATGCGTGTCCACTGACGACGAGAGAGCTGCCTGGTGAGACTTTGCGTCTCTTCACCTGTATGGAGTGCCCGAACAACTATCCATGGATATTGGATCCCACAGGCGATGGTTTCTCAGTTTAAGTTCGTTAGTAGATTAGAAAAGAATACACACACACACACCACACACACACACACGCCCACACTCACTCACTCACACATACACACAAGTTGTAGAGAGGAGAAGAAGAAGAAGAAAATTTTAGTAATTTATACTTAAGCCCGGAAGGAGTTTGACAAATTCTACTTTATTACCTTTATTTGTAACTTAATAATTTGCAACTCGTAGTAGTTCCACCGAGAGTCTGATCTATTAAACAAAAAAGAAGAAGAAGAAAACTAAATTTAAAGTGTAATTTTTGTATGCAAAATGCTTAACGAGCGATTGTTACCGTGGAAAATACTCATAACTGTTAAAAAAAAAAAAGAAAATTATCTTCACTTTTCCCTTACCTACTTATTCTTAAACTTACTCTCTGCTGTCTTTAAGTCTCCCGCTACTCTTAACATAATAATAATTAGTTTGATACAAGAATTACTATGAAAGCTTTGCACTTAAAGCTCACTGTCACTAATTACTTCAACTTCTCTTTTTCTTTCAATTTCAACACTTCTCTCCATTACTTTTCTTATACTTCTATTTATTTTTTGCTGTTATTTTCTATATCTCTTCACTAAACTCTTCTGTACTGTCTGACTTTCACTGCACTTAAGCTTTAACTCGAACTTTTTTCAAGCTTTCACTTAAGCTTTTTCTCAAATGTATAAAATTTCCTGTACAAAGTGATATATTCTTCTAACTCAAGACATTCTCTATATTTTGCTCTTCTTTCTCTATTTTCGTATCTTCATTTCTCCTGTTTTTTATTCTTTTTCACTGCAAGAAAAGCGCCAAATATATCACAACAGTTTATATTCGTTTTTAATTATGTTAGTATTTTTAACTAAGGAATACAAGAATATGAATTTTTCTCAAAGAAAATTTAATTGTTTTCAAACAAAATAAAATTCCTAAAGAAATTTTAAATTGAATTTTTAATTTATGGTTATAACGAAGAAGAAGGGATTATCATAAGCTTTTTTCGAATTGCCAACATTCGAGTCCAATGGATTGATCAGAAACGCTGTAGTCAAAAGTATTTACGAAAAGTGTTCCCCGTGTGGTTCTGCAGCATATGAGAAGGCTAATGGGGAGAGTAAATAGCGCTTTCTCTCAATGAAAACTTTCTGGCAAGCTATGTTTGAATTGTCAAATAATCAGCTGTTAAATATTGCTTGACGCTTGACATCAACGAGTGTTCAGAGACCTCCAGATCTGTCGATCCCGACGGCATAAGCGTAAAGCTAATAATACTAAACTTGCAATTTATTTCTGTTGAAAGAAGAGTCATATCGTCCGTTGTCTTTCCGCTGCCTAGTAGAGATGGCTCCTGAGACCTTATTCTCACTCACCACCTGAGGCCAGCAGCATATCAGCGTAACTTCTGTGAAATCCCCGCCATAAACAACGTAATAACTCATAACCTCAATCTAAACTGAGCTTGCCTGAAGAGTACAGATAGTACAGAACGTCTTTTAAGCTTTCGACACAGTCAATAAAGAATTGCTGTTATCGGACATTTAGAGCTCCTCACCCTCTCCTTGCGATTCTTTAAATTTCATATTTTAAAGCTCTCTCCTTAAAGAAAGGATGTTCCGTTAACCTCTTACACCGTTGAATACTCCATTTCCACTTCTTCCATGCACGACATTTACAGTTATCACTAACGAAAACCACCGGCACCTTTTCCATTAGCTGGACGGAGGAGTATTGGGTCGATCTCATTAGCCTTAAGTTAATAACCTTCACTTCGCATTCGCCCACTTTTGTCGCCGGTTGGTCGTAAATTACGCCACACCAATTTGGACGCTACTTGTTTCACCTGATTAACAATTACATGGCATATGTTGTTATTGTTGTAGCAGTTCACTAACCCCGCTTAGGGACATACTAATCAATCTAAATAACAGAGATCCGGGCTTTGACAGAGGGAGGGGGGTGGATTACATGCCTCGGTTTCAGAGGGCATGTAAAAAGGTAGCTAGTGACGTGCAGAGACTTTTTTCCATCAGGACATACGTTGGGTATGTTGAGGTCAAGTTTGGATTAGTAGGAGGTTAACCTGCTACAGTATCCAGAATCACTTATGCTGCATGTTAAGCAATCCAACCACCACTAATAGCCGGAAAGAGCTGGAGTTGCCTAGCGTAAAAAGTGTGGCATTAGCCAAATTAGTGTGCGGATACTGTACTTGACCCAATTCCTACTAATCTATGCTATGTTCTGCATGAAATGCCCTACCGCACAACACTAACCATCGTTTTACAAGTTCGCTAAAGTCTGCTCATCTAACTCCTATCCCGCTCTAGTACGAATACCTCAAAACTTGTCGTTATTATGCCCTTCGTTAGATGACCTCGACCAAATAGACCAATAGTTCTTAGTTGGGGTTGAGAAAGCTATTATAGCAAAATTGCAAAAGAGGTACCACTGGTTTACTTCAGACATTCGGGTACAAAAAACTTTATAAGGATTGCTCCTATATCTGGCAACACCATTGATGACATTCACAATTATTTAATGAGATTACACTATTTTTCGAACGCATTCACTAATCTTGACAGCTGAATTTTGACAGTATTAATTTATTTTATTAGCTGTCTTTTTGCCTTTATAAATTCGTACGTGTTTTTTGTTCACAAGTTTTCTGTGTTGTTCTAAATTACTGAAATAAATACGTTGAATTTTATTATAAAAACATGACGGACTATCAATTCAGTGAACGTGCTTATGCCAAAACTATTTTCCATGCTGCCAAATATCCACACTTGGCCGTGAATGGTGTGCTGTTGAGCGAAAAGGTTCCCAAAGGCAATACAGTGCAAATAGTGGATGCGATACCATTATTCCATCAATGCCTCTATCTTACACCAATGGCAGAGGTAGCGCTAACACAGGTATGTATATACATAACATGTTGTTCCATATTGCATTAAACGGTGTGCTAATTTCAATGTAGTTATTATCAATTACGGGTACATTGCTTGTCTTTATGCAAATGCATGCATATTTCAATTTGATTTAATGCAATTGGGAACTTTCAATGCATATCTTACTTTTAATATTTCGTACTTTTTTATCTTATAAAGGTGGACGCTTTCGCAGACCGTGAAAATTTAGTTGTAGCCGGCTACTATGTAGCTCCAGAAAACTACTACGACGCTAGCGTAGAGAAGGCACCCGCTGTTAAAATTGCCGAAAAGTTACTTGAATGTAACAAAAATGCATGCCTTGTGGTTATAGATAACAAGTTAATGAGCCAGAATCACAAACAGGCAGCGCTAAAGGTATTTAATAGCAATGGAGAAAATGCACGTTGGACAAAAGCAAACTATACATTATCGCAGGCGAAGTTAACATTACAAACCGTATCCGAGTTATTACAACGTGGAGCCATGCGTGAGGTAGTCGATTTTGATAATCATTTAGATAACCCAGAAAACGATTGGACGAATCCGCACTTTAACCGTGACTTGAAACAGCTAATGGCCATGTACTAAAACATACATACAACATATATGTATGTGTATATAAGGTATTAAATGGTACGGGGGTTCAGGTTTTTAGCTGTAATGTGCAATTTCGGTATAAAGTATCTATGCATTTCTGTTTAAACGTATTTAATTGACATCTGTTTTATAGTATTTTGATGGAAAATATTAAAATACCTATGATACTTAGTAAAAATAACCAATAAATAAATAAATAAAATATAAAGAATTACGACATAATAAACGTGCAATATTGGTAATATTTATTTCAAACTTTTTAGTTCATTTCAGAGCATTTATATATTAACTAGTATAATTTTTACACGCGTTCTTAAGAATTTAAGTATGTATGTACTGTATTATTTCGATTTTTTTTTATTAACTTCGTTAAAACATAGAATTTATAGCCAAAGGCGCACTTGTTGATCCCAACTGGTGGATGCTAGACACATGCCATTAGGCGAGAGGCCAATACATGTTATACGATTTTCATGTCCCTGTAGCATAGCTGAAAGAAAGAAATTTTTTTATATATTCGACATTAACTCAATTAAGAGATAAAAATATATAAAAGCTTACCATTGTGTGAGACTTTAACAGTGTCCCAAGCATGAATATTGCCCTCAATGCCAGAGCACATTAAATATCGGCCGCTTGTGGAAAGCGCTGTAGATTAATTAGATTTAATGTAGTGAAAACTACGCAAAACCAAATGCATTTATTTACCGCAAGAAGTGAAACCAGTATTTTTCTGTGGCGGCTCATATTGGGCTATTTGCTGGTCCGAACGAATATCGTACAAACGCGCCGTTTGATCCTCCGAACAAGAAGCGAATCCAAAGCCACTCGGATGATACTACATAAATACAATTAATTATAGAGAGAAAAAGTGAATTAACTTTTATATTTTGCTGAGAATTTTAAGATTGTGTATTTACTTATTGAGCGCAACGCTGAACAAAATTACATACATAATTTAATGAAAAAAACTTTAAATTAAAAAAACAAAATGGTGGAAGTGCCATCAGGCTGGCTCTGACCATTAAAGAAATGTGGATTATGATTAAAGCAACGAAGATTAAGCGAAAAGAAAAAAGAATTGCAAAGGAGATAAAAAAATTTAAAAAAATATTTGCCGTTAGAATATGGGTTTCAAATTTCCTAGTCGAAAACGCACTTTAGTGACCGTTATGAAAATCGAAACCACCATGAAATCAGTAATAAAAAAGAATAAGGAATTATGCATACATATATGTAAATTCAAAAATGGATAAATCAAGATAAAATAAAATAAAACGCATCGCACCAAAAGGAGCTGAGATAGATCCTCAAAAATGTATGCCGATCGCAGCAGAACGACAAGCTAAGTTGGTTTAGCCATGTCAGTATGCTTGGACGCAGACTAGGCTCTCAGTTTTTCAGCTATTTCAACCAATTAATCGGAACTGGCCAGATCCGACCACTATAGCATGTGTCCCCCATACAACCGATTCGTTCGGATTTGAGGTTTGGGTTGGAAAATCCACCGTAAATGCATCTAAGAGTATGAAAATTTCGTATTCTTCGCACGCAAATCTAAGTAAACATTGGCACCGAAAATCATCGAAACCGGAAGACTGTAGTATACAGCCGATCTGTAGGTATGAAGTTTTGGGTCCAAAATCTGCCAAAAATTCGGAGGACTATATAATGTAGCCCCTCCAACAATTTTTGCAGTTCAGAATGAAATACCTTATAAGTGATGTGATCATAAAAGGGTAAAAGACTCGGTTTTGCCGAAGACAGCCCGACTGTTGTTGTTGCTGTTGTTGTAGCGGCAGTCCTTGGTCGGTTAAAAATCCGGCTTTTACCGGTATAAAGACACGACTGTCGCAAGAACTTTTTGATTTTAGTCACCTCTTACGACAGGTATGCCTTTCTGCCGGGAAACTCGTGAACCCATGGCCCGACAAGTTGGCAGCCCTTCTCTTCTTTCTTGTTTGAATTAGTTTTTCTATAATTTTCGATATTGTTCTGGCCCCGTTTTAACTAGGGTCATGTCAAAAGCCATTGCAAAGTGAAAGTGCCGGGGGAAATTTTATAATTAAAGTTCAGAAAATAATTATATTTGAAAAGCCAAAAGGAATGCCCCAAAGTAATTGCATAAAATTTAAGCCTGAAAAAAATATTAATTTTTATTAGCTTAAAAGCTTCTACTTACGCATACAGAATTCACGTCCATTTCATGACCAAAGAACATCTGTTTGTACGAATCCTCACGTACATCCCACAATTTAGCTGTCTTATCCACAGAACCTGTTATATAAGTTTTCATATCGGGCGACAAGCTTAAACCAGCAATATCACCAGCATGACCATTAAAGTCCATTGTCTTTACACCCTTCTCCAAATCCCAATGGCAACTGCAAAGAGGGAACATACATTTTATGGATTCTCCAATTGAAAAAAAAATAATAATAGTAATTGTTAAATCTACATTTTCATATCACCTGAACCGGTTATTAAATGGCCATCATCTAAGAAACGGCACGAACTCAAAAATCCTTCATAACCTAAAAGTTCTCGCGTCATTTTGGCCACACCCGAAGCATCACGATTATTAACATCGTAAACTGTGCATTGATTATCCATGCCACCGCAAGCTACGAAATTACCCGATGGCGAGAAAGCCACTGTCATAACCCAAGCCGAACGTAATGGAATAACCTAGAAAACACAATAACCAATAAATCAATAAGAAAATGAACATTGCATATTTGTTTTTTTGTATTTTTTTGTTTTTTTCAATAACTACCCACCTGCACTTTGTTTGCCGTCCATGTATCCCATATAATCAGCTTGCCGTCCAGTGAGCCAGTAACACAATGCCTCGAATCGCCAGCAAAGTGTACGGAATTGACCTTGTTTATATGTCCCTTTAGTATCTTTTTCGAGGCAAGTCGTAATTTTGGTATATCACCCATATCCCCGCATTTTTCCTGCCATGTACAGTCCGCTTTGGCCTTTTGGTCGTCCTGAGAAAAAATTCAAATAAATTTAATTAGTACTCACTGTGGTTTTTATTGAATTTAGTTGCAGTAAAGTTAATTATATTATTAAACAAAAAATTAAAAAAAAAAAATAAAATTTTATTTTTTTTTTAGCTTTTGTAACTGAATTTTTTATAGATTTTCTTTTCTTTTTTTTTTTTGCTTCATCGAGCTCCTCCACCTTGAATTTCTGTATCATTCCATTAATCTCATCGTGTAATTTTTGAGTTTCCGGATCGATTTTTGGCATTTTGGAGAATTAATATATTTATTTTGAAAATATTTTTTTTTTTTTTTCAATTCGGAGCCAATTAAAATCGTGTTAACTATTATGGCATAGATACTGAAATTCGACCTGAACACTTGTCAAACAACCCAAATGACCACTTCAAAGCTAACGTCTGTACGCGAACTGAGCTGCACGAAATTTTTGAATTTTTCACTGTCACTGTTGAAACGCAAATTGCAAAACAAAAAACACTAATGCGATTAACTAATTGGATTGAAATTTTAGTGGGAAATGCAGTTCAAAATTGTGCATGCGCAAATTCGTATCGAAAAATTCACTCATTTCACTTATGGCCAACGTTAAAAATAAAATTAAGAAAACGTATATTTTATGTTTCCCTTTTTGTGGTACAAGTACAATAAATAACGGTTAAGAGCGCAATTTATGCTAAAACAATTTGAGCACTGCTCGAAGGGAAATAAAACTGTATGGAATTAGTGGGAAATTACGCATATTTTAAAATCAACAAGATTTCATTTTTTTCTGGCATACTTTTAGGCATATTAATATTATTATAGATTTCTGCGCAAATAGAAGACCAACCAGATGATTATATTTTATTCTATTTAGATATTCCTTCCTATCGATGTTAGCGTTGGTCTACCCAAAACGATGACGACATAACAAAGTTGGTATTGCCGAAGTCGAAATCGATCAGAGAACTTAAAACAACGAGGAAGTTCTGCCATATAATTTTTCATTCTGCTGACGGCTTTTGGGTAACTCTGCGTGATTTTGATATATTATTAAAAAAAAAAACATTTTTAAATCAAAAAGTCAATTGGGAATATCTATTTCATATGATATCATTGACCTACCGATATATTTGGCGTTCATATGTTCATGTTGAAAAAAAAATCCCTCTTGAACAAACAAATCCAAAATATATTTTTTCAAATCGTTAAAAATTGCTTTTGTGGTGATAGCCAAAAACTATTGAACTTAATGCTGAGTAATATAAAAAATGAAATATTATTATAATATCCAGCAGAATTTTTTGATATTTTGTTATCAAGCAATATGGTAATAAAAAATGCACCAGAGAGCTTAAAATTCTTAAAAAGTCTCATTATTTTTCGCCCGTATGTCCATAAACTCGGTCGGAAAATTTTGGTATTCCGGCACAAACTTTCTGAAACAAACTTAAAACGCATTTCGAATGCTCAAGTTGGTTGAACCCCAAATACGTTGGTTTTAGTTGCTTAGAAAACACGAGCCAAAAAACTATTCATCAATTGCAATAAGTTTTCGTTAGCACAGACTCTGAATACTCACATATTTTGTGTGAACTTATCAAATTTTGTGTAAACTTATCATAATGTTTAGAAACCATTGAATTTTTTGCCAATAACATGGCAGCACCAGACACCGTCATATCTGACAACTGTTTGACATTTTATTTTCTTTTTCCACAGAAAGTGTAAAATTGTTTTTCTAAATCCTCTCGGTCCATTATTTAAGCCAAAAATAACATTTATCTTTAAAAAGTTATGACAAGGGTGGATTATAGTTCTTAATATCGACAAAGGTGCACTAAATAGAAGCGTAACATATAAGATTAAGTATGCATCAATGGATGCTCTTACATTAACTGGGACAGGTAACAATACAACAATGCATATGCAAGTCCATCTGGATGGACAATCACCAAATTTGGATGAACACGGACAACATATAAATCAACAACAGCAGCAACATCACTTAGTTAATCTCGGCGATATAACCGATTTGACGCCTGAATTGCATGAAGATATTGTTTCTATACCTAAAGAGGTTATGCTCATATCGCTTGTGTCACAAGAACAGGCACTTTACAATCCCAAACATAAATTTTATCGCAATACAAGTCGTAAAGATGCTAAATGGCATGAGATTGCAAACACTATTGGCTGGACAGGTAAGTTTTATCCATATAAACACACACATATTTATAAGTATTGTATTTTTTCATGCAGAGGCACAATGCAAATCGAAGTGGAAAGCAATGCGTGATCAATTTTGTCGTGAGCTTAAACGTAGCAAATTTAATGTGAAAGCAAATGTAAAATGGAAGTACTTTAAAGAGTTGGAGTTCTTGCGGCCATTTGCACTCTCAAGAAAGTAAGTTGTAACGTGTTGTGTCCCTTTCTGTTATATTTATCAAATTGTTTAAATAATTTAGCTATCGTCCCCGCACTATTACCAAAAATGAAAACATTAGTTCTTCTAGTGCTGAAGGGAATAATGCAGCCCAAAAGCTACCGAGTATAAAAATCGAAAATGAGCAATTCAGTAACTGTGATTTTGGTACCGAAGGCAATGTTTTAGATTCACACGATAAGCTGGATGCAACTACTACCCGACTTTTAACATCATTGACTGATGAACAGTTGGATTCGGTGATGCAGCACCATAGTGGTAGTTGGAGTTACCTGACTACAAATACGACAACAGCGACAACAGACGTGCATACCTTGCAAACTAATCAACATAACACTAACGTATTAGACGATAACAATTTGCTGCAACATACACAAACAAATACAAGAACTGTTAGTATGCTATGTGCATTGGTTGAAAATGCTGCAAGCGGTGCAGGCAACATGCAGCAGACGCAACAGCATAATGATGAGGAAAACGATGATCCACTGAATACTTTTCTCGACATGGAAAGTTTCTTTGAAAAAGACCTCATAAGCATTGTTCAACAAGAAGATGTACTTTATAATAATTTCCATCCCAATTATCGTAACTCTAAATTGAAACTTGATTTATGGGATGAAATTGCAACCAAATTAAAAAAGCCTGGTATGATGCAAATTAATTAAATGTAATTAAACATATAATTTACAATGGATTTTATTTTTCAGTGGGTCGTTGCCGTCTAAAATGGAAAGCATTGCGCGATCAATTTATTCGTGAGCACAAACGACTGAAAGGCCGGGAAAACTCTAACTCATTGCCACGCTGGAAACACTACGATGCACTAAGCTTTCTTAAGAATTTCATAAAACACAAATCACGGTACGGTTTGAAAGTTTAATTTAATTATTTTATTATGAACACATCTACTTCTTACAGCAATTGCGATGTAAAAAATGCTACTAAACAATCTAAAAGAGAAGTAGAGACAGATATAGACGAGCACATGATTGACAGTCCGCCTTTGCATTCACCGCTGGAAGTGGTTCAGCAAGATTTAGAACAGACATTACCATCCCTATCAGGACCACATGCACAACATCAGCTGCACGCAACAACAACACATGATATTTGCGTGGTAAATGGCAGTAGTGTTAGCGCGTATGATGAGATGGATATCGATCATTACATTATTGGTCATGCCAGCGAAACGGGCGCGCACAATGATAATGATGATTTGGATGATGATGATGATGACGATGATGATCGCAAATCTGGACAACATTTTACAGATTTCACTGCAAATTCCGCCAGCAACATGACTGCCAGTAATAATTCTAATCAACAACATGAGGGCATACATGAGTTAACATCGGAGGAGCCGGACTTTAAGGATATAAAGGAGAATGTTATGTTGGCACAACAAACCTTACAAGTTCAATTGCAGCAGCAACAGCAACAACAACAACAGCAGCAGAAGCAGCAACAACAACAACAACAACAACATGTGCATCAACAATCACAGCAGCAACAGATGATACAACAGCAACAGCAGCAGCAACAGTTGGTGCAACAACAGCAGCAACAACATCAATATGATAGCCATCATCATGCACAACAAACACTAATAAAGTTAACATCACATCCATCCCAACGCCATCAGCCGCAGCATTTGATCACTTTAGAGGTTGGCAACAATCGACACACTTCCCCACTCACCATAAGCGACGAGTCTATCATGCAGCACCAGCAATTGCAGCAGCAGCAGCAGCAGCAACAACCACACAACTTTAGCAATGACATGAAACAACAGCAACAACAAGACTTTAGCAACGACATGAAACAGCGCCATGATTTTAGCAATGACATAGAACAACAACAGCAACAACAACAACAACATCCGCCTCAACAAACGCTACAAGCACACATAAATGGTCTAACAAATGGTGGCAATACCAATTTAATCGCCAACAATAAATGTCAAAATATGTTGAGTGGAACTTGTGGCATGACGACGATAATGAGTACAAGTAGTAGCTCACTCAGCTTGGATGGCATCACTTTGCAGGCGTTAACTAATAGTTTGTCAAATAATTCACCCACAAAAACAACATTTGCCACAATGACCTCTACACCAAGCACTGCCACTGTGATGTCTACGCCAACATCTCCGAATCAGTCAAATCAGGCTAATCAAAGAACTCCCGAAAATGCGGGCGACGATGAGGTTGGCGCTTTCTTTAAAGCAGTTGCAATGAAAATACGTAATGCGAAAATGTCGCCGGTGGCTTTTACTGATCTACAGATCGATATACTGCGTGTCATAAACGAAACATTACGAAATAATTAGTTAAAAGTCTATATACATAAAGTTGATGTGCTATTTGCAATTATTCATCTGTACATATATAAAGCACTTAGTTGATTTTTAACACTTTCTTTAGATATTCATGTGTACTTTTGTTAAGACGAAAGCTACGCGTGCAGTTGCAACTCGCATATTTTAGTTTTCATTGTAAGAAAAATATTTTACCTGATTATAATCTGATAAATTTAATATTATAGCAACAAAATTTGTTGGAGGATACTTATGAAGCAACCACTTTTAAAAAATTTTAAAAATTAACTTTACTATATTATAAAGTTTTACATATAAAAGGGTTTACGATAAAATTTAAAATTAATGAAATTAAAAAAAAAATTAAAATCAATGAAATTAAAATTTTAGTAAATAAAAATTCATGATTGTTCCAACATAACTACATACATACATCTCATTATGCATAATTGGAAAGTTTTGAAATCTTTTAAATTCATTTGAATAACTAAAAACTATTTTGATGGCAACTCTTTTTACTTCAGTAAGCATTGTAAAGTGTTTTTTAATGATTTGCGGTTCTTTTCGATCTATATTGACAAGTTTTTTAACCGAAAGGCTTCGGACATATATATACATACTTATTTGCTATGCTATGTATATACAGTTTATATAAAAACATAGGCTTGTATACAAAGAAAAATATGTATGTATTTGTAAATAAACATGTTTTAATCTTTTTAGCTAAAGTACAGCAAGTTTCGTTATTTAAATCCTAATTTGTTGTTGTTGGTGTTGTTGTTGTTGTTGTTGTAACTGTTCCAATTCCGCTTAGGTACAGGCTAGCTCAACTAAGTCACAGAGTTCATCTAACGGAAGGTCCAGGATACGAGCTCTTTTGACGGGTTCGGACAAAAGAGAGCGGGGAGTTAGAAGTATCAGTTTTAGGGGGCATGTAAAGAGTTTAGTGTCATGCAGAAACTCGTTATATGCTGGACATATGCATGTTAGGTATGTCGGGGTCGAGTATGGATAGGTAGGAGTTTAACCTACTACAATATCCGGACCTAAGTTGCGCAAGTACTGCGCGGGTCTCTCGAGGCAGCCGGTTCAACGCACCGGTGTCAATGCGGATTTTATTCTGCCAAGGGTTATCATCTAACCCCGTTTAGGTCAAGAGCTAAAATTAACTCATAATTAGTTGTTGTTGTTGTTGTAGCGGCTACGAAGACCCCGATTAGAGACAGGTTTAAAATCAGTCCTAATCGTAAATCGTAATTGGTGGTGGTTGTTGTTGTTGTTGTTTTAGCGGTTCGCTAACCCCGCTTAGGGACAGGTATGATTCATCTAAGTCGCCGAGGTCATCTAATGGGAGGTCCAAGAAACGGGCTGTTTCGACGGGGTTGGACCAAAGGGAGAGGGGGGTCAGATGAATTGATTTGAGTGGGCATGTGAAGAGGTGACTAGTGTCGTGCGTAGACTCTCAAGACATTCGGTTCTTCGTACCGGAGTTGACCCGGATTTTATCCGGCCAAGGGCTGTCACCCTTTCGGCGACCTAACCCCGTTTAGGGCAACAGGTAACATTATTAAAACGTAATTAGTCACAATCAATGGTTCATCCTCCATACAATATTGTGGGAAACTAAAAGACAATTTGAATCTGAACTATATCCATATTACATCCTAATCGTCTAGAGGCTGCTTTTGAAATCTCTGCCATATAGGCTGAGAAACAAGGTCGGCGTCTTCACTGGAAAGATGAAAATTCACAAATTTAACCCACCATCCTAAGGAGTTAAGTATCCTCCAACTCAGGAGTGAACAAAACGCTACTAATTTCTCATGCCTGTACAAGCGCCCCCTAAATATTCTAGTTAGGCGAATCCAAGCCTCCAAGTGTTGGGGGAAAGTTAAAAGAGAACTATTGTTAAACGTACAGTGTGACAGAGGGACCGGAAACCTTCTGCCTAGTGCAAGCTACTTACTGTTTCGCTGGCGGAGAACAAGGTCATCGGAAATACACATATACACATTTGCACCGATGGATCAAAATACGAGACAGGCATCGAAGCATTGATCTTCTACGCCAATAACCAAGGTAGCTTCAAACTAAATTACTACAAATCTGTCTGCCCAGCAGAGAATGTGAGCGTTACTAAAGGCGCCAAATGGGAATACACTTTAACAGGGGAATACATTACAGTTTCTTGTAGACAGTCTAGCGGCTGCTAAATAAAACACAAATTAAAAATGTGTAAGAAAATAAACAGACTATCACGGGATCACTTCCCAAGTCTCAGGACCCAGGCCACAGCTAACTCGATCTGGCGACGCTGCCACCTCCGATTGTAGAACTTAGCGGAACACAAAAGGTCCTGCAGCAGGTTCTATGGAAATTTGCAGACAGACCACAGTACCATACAAAAGAGAACTGAGCATCGCCAAAAGCTAGACAAAATAAAATCGGCAGTGTGAGGAGCTTACACACTGGTACAGACTGGTAACTGGCGAATGTCCCTCATGAAACATTTAACGGTGTGATGTAACTCGATCTTGTTGGCCAATCTCCCCACCGAAGTGTTCTCTCAATAAATCCATTGAGTGATACGATGTGTGGGAAGTGGCGGCGTCTAGTTGAAACCAAATGTCGCCGAGATCACGAGCTTCAAATTCAGGTATCAAATAGTCGGTATCACGTTTACTTTTTCACCGTCTTCATTTTTGAAGAAATATGGACCAGTGATTCCACTTGCCCACAAACCACACCAAACCGTTGATCTTTTCTGGATGAAATGCTGGCTCTCAAATCTCTGTAGGTTGCTCGGACAGAAATGGGCCTCATCGAAAACCTCAGACCCTCTTGGAACTTTGCAAAAGCCCATAGAGCGAAGCGATGGCGCTTGGTGTTTCAGTTCTTGCTGTACTTTGTACACTTCCAATTAGATCTCGACGTAAAATGCGCCAAGTCGTTCCATTCGGAGGAGTCTTAGTATAAGCTGCAGCTCCCTCCATTTGTTGGAAAAACATGATGACATACTCACATGACAGGATGTTCGACCGAAAATCGCTCAGCAAATAGCTATGCTCAGTTAGTTATCATACTCAGACGATATCAGCCTCGGTATCTTGCATTTGGTTATAGATTTCCATCTGTTCTGAGTTATATGTATATTCAAATCTTAGGAATCTTTCTCTTGATCGTTCCTAGCGGCCGTGGTTTTAACTGCGCCTCGGATTCGTCTAGAGAGGCTCCAGAAAAGGTCGAAAATTTCCAGGAACCAGATTATGAATAAGTGAAGTTGACTTGCCAATGAGCTTAAAGCCTTGACATTTCCTGCCGAGTGGCGACCGCAATTAGAAAAATTAATTTTCTATAATTCTGGATGTTGGTCGAACCATGACATGAACTCTGGTCTTCAGAATGGCAATACGCAATGTCGCCAGGCCCTTTGTTTGGTTGTATAATGCTTGCTTTCTGTAGCTTCTCTGTACCTTTTCACAATAAAGCTCCACAGGCCTTCTCTTGTACTTGGGCTTGAAAGATGCTAGTTGATTTTGGTAGACAAATTTGGTGAGAGAGGGAGAGAGAGCGAGATATCCAAATCCTTGGAGTACACTCCACCTCCCTTGAGTTAAAGTAGTACATACATCCCCATCGCCCATAAAAGCGGGGAAAGGACACCTCCCTGAGTAGTCCCTGTGCTTATTTTTATTTAACCTATTTGTGTCGCTGAGTCGTTTGATGATATAAACATTCTGTTTAAAGGCATTGATTGCATCCATCTGCACATTTATCACCTCGTATAGGGCAGTTTCCGCCCTTCATGCATGCGTCGATCTGAGTTGTCGATATTTTCTAGCCTTCGAACCGTTGGTTCCTTTAGCTTCTGTAGCATTTTGGAAATAATCTCATCCATTTGATATGAAACTTTTTACAAATAGTTTTCTATTTTTTTATTAAATACTCTACAACTGTATACATATGTTCCGAACTATCGAATCGTTATCAAGCCCACTTCCTTCCAAAAAAAAAAGAAAGAAATTTGGGTCCAAAACTATTACTGTATGAATTAATTTGGAAAACAGACGAGGGAAAACTCTTTCTTCCTTAACGGGTGCCTACGTCATATTCAGAACGCATTCTCCAAGTTTCACGTTTCTACGACCTGTAATTCAAGCTAAGGGTCCTTCAGGACAAAGCTTTTTTCGAGGCGATTAACAAAAGTTCGTTCGGTCGGTGACTTTCAATTTGCTTTTGTTAAACCTGAAAACACCAAATCCTACGCAATTACTTTATTAGTCTTCCTTTGAAATTTTAGAACGATCGGTGGAAATTCCGACGAGAAAACGCAAGATAACTGAGGATGGGTCAGACGAAATTCCACCGCCAATGCAAACAGAGAAATTCGCTATGTGATCAAAAATATTCTCCACAGTACTTTTTGGGGCATGTTGCGGGGGTGACAGTCCTTGGCGTGGTTTTGGTATAAAGACCCGACTGCCGCAAAGTTTATTGGGCTTTATTCGCCTCTTACGACAAATATGCCTTACTGCGGATAAATTCTTGAACCCCTAATGTTCAGGGAGTATTTTATTCCGATATCTGGGATCGAAGATATACGTCCAGTACCATATTTCCCTTGTGAATTGGTTATTACAAAAAAAAAAATGAAAAGGAAATGTCTTTAATAGCAAAGAGAACATAATTAATGCGCTTAAAAATCAAGATTTTGTTTTGTTTTTTCTTCTGATCAACTTAACGAACTTTTGTCAATCCCCCCGTGTATATATATATGTATATAGGTTTGTGTTGTTTGAAATACGGTATCTAAAAAAATTATTCCAAGGTGTGGTCAAGTCTCAAAGCGATTACTACAACAATTGATCTACTTCTCGGATATCGTTTTCAATTTAGGTACATACACACATACATATGCACGATACGATATTTCACGCCTATAATGCGAGTATGCATACAAATGTATTTGCATATTCACCTACATACATATGTTTGTACATAATGATGGATTTCATTTCGATCATTCTTAAATTACTTTCTTAAATCTCTTTATTTCTGCTGTTGTTGCGATGAAAAATCATAAAGTACCTACCTGTATACGTGTAGGTAAAAAATATGAACGCCGACATGAGCACCTAAGTATATATGTGTGTATACAAGTAATTACTCAACCCACCCCCTCCCGCCTACACTCACTGAAGTTATCATTATGTTTGGCACTCCAGGAATGCAGTCAAAAACATTGTAAAGCTGTCGGATATCAAAGACTTGACAGCAAAATAAATGAAGACGACGCTTGGCTAACAACAACAACCACAGACACCAAAACACAATTAAGAGAAAAAACTTGCGACTTCGACTTCTTTAAAACTACCAAAGAAAATTAAAGGAAAGCCAGTAAGTAAATAAATAAGAAAAAGTACAAAGCAAAAATTACGAGCTACCATCTTGGTAAATAAGGACCACTGAAATGGTA